AGCGGTTTCCTACAGTTTTTTCTTTAAGATCTACTTCAGTGGTCTCCAACCTTTTTCCTCTAGTGAGCTACGTTTACACAGTGAACATGCTGGAGAGCTGCTCATTTAATATAAGAGTAAATATAAGAGACTTAGATGGTTGGAAGTTAGCTATAAAACATTTACACAACTATTCTATTTATCAGTGCACAAAGATACATTTATAATAATAACAGGCTTTTAATCCAGTCACATCAGAGTGTTTCAGCACAGAATGTATGATCCACAAATCACAAATGGTGATGGTACTTGGAAGGAGGTGGAGAGCGACCGGGAGCTGCAGACTGGACACTCCTGCTCTGTTTATGAGATTTGACAGAGCAGCAGTGGCAGTAGTGAACTCTTTCCTCTTTCACTCCCTCTCCATCGCTCTCTCTCTTTTTTTTACAGAGTCAAACATGTTCATGTGTTCCTCCGCTCTCCCTCTTTCTCATTCACACACTTAAACACACGTGCATCCCCCCTTCATTCATGGAGTCAAACATGTGTGAACCTCTCTCTCCTCTCTCTCTCTCTCTCTCTCTCTCTTTCTCACACTTAAACACCTGTAAACCTCTCCTCAGTCACCTCTCTTCTCTCTCCCTCTTCCCTTCCTCTGTCACTTATGTCCTTTCCTAGCTCTCCCTTCCTATGTTCTTTCTCAGTTCTCTCACCCATCTCCCTTCTCTCTCCTTCTCTCTCTCTCTCTCTCTCTCTCTCTCTCTCTCTCTCTTTCTCACACTTAAACACCTGTAAACCTCTCCTCAGTCACCTCTCTTCTCTCTCTTCCCCTCCTCTGTGTCCCATGTTCTTTCTCAGCTCTCTTGTCCCTTCCCCTCTTCTCTTTTTCTCTCCCCCCTCTCCCTCACTTAAACACACTTAAACACCTGTGAGCCTCTTTTTATTCAAATCTCTTCTCTCTCTCCCTTACCCTCCCTCCTCCTCTGTCACTTATGTTCTTTCCCAGCTCTCCCTCCCCCGTTCTCCCCCAATCTCTCTCTTTCACCCCACCTCTCCCTCTCCCTCTCTCTCTCTTAAACACCTGTAAATCTCTCCTCAGTCACCTCTCTTCTCTTATTTTCTTCCTCCGTCACCTATGTTTCTTCTCTCTCTCTCTCTCTCTCTCTCTCTCTCTCTCTCTCTCTCTCACTCTCTCTCTCAAAAATTCACCTTGTTTTTCCCGACCACACCTTCTCTCTCTCTCTTACTCTTAAACACCTGTAAACTTCTCCTCAGTCACTTCTCTTTTCTCTCACTTCCCTTCCTCCCTCACCTATGTCGTTCTTTTTCTGCTCTCTCTCCCCCTCCCCCTCTCTCTCTCTCTCTCTCTCTCTCTCTAAATTTCACCTTCTTTTTCCCAGCCGTCTCTCCTCTCCTCTCCTCTTCCCTGTCACTTATGTTCTTTCCCTCCCCCCTTCCCCCCATTCTCTCTCTCTCTTTCCCCCCTCTCTCTCTTGTTCTCTCTCTTACTCTTAAACACCTGTAAACTTCTCCTCAGTCACTTCTCTTCTCTCTCACTTCTCTTCCTCCTTCACCTATGTTGTTGTTTTTCAGCTCTCTCTCCCCTCCCCCCTCTCTCTCTCCCTCCCTTTCTTCCCTCTCTCTAAATGTCACCTTCTTTTTCCCAGCCGTCCCTTCTCTCTCTCTCTCTCTCTTTCTCACACTTAAACACCTGTAAACCTCTCCTCAGTCACTTCTCTCTTCTCTCTCTCTCTCTTCCCTTTCTCCATCACCTATTCTCTTTCCCCCCATCTCCTCCCTCCCTCTCTCTCTCCCTGCCCTCTCCCTCTCTTGTCTTTCTCACACTCGTTCTCACACTCGAACCTGGTTTAGATCATTTGAATAACAGCTCGGCTATTCTCTCTGTGAACGAGGCCTAAAGCCAAGAGCCCGACCTGTAAAGACAAGGCTCCCGTCTGAGTCACCCGAGGAACTATTCCTCAGCAAAGTCCAAATCAACTTTGAATTTTTTACTCTCGTGACAACACCTCGGTCAGAATTCACTCTGTAAACACGCAAAAAAACTCAGAAATGAGGACTCGTTTTGGTCTTTTTGCGTCCGTTCAATTTGCGATTTAGATTCGATCGCGATTCATCTCCCCCCCCCCCCCCGCCCCGCACCTGTCTGCACCCGTCCGCCCCCGTCGCCCCCGTCTGCCCCCCGCCGGCGCTGTAATCTGCCCCGGGGCGTGTGGAGGGCGAGCCGAGGTCATGGGAACGCACAGCTGTCCGGAGGAAAACACAGAGCACCTGAAACAAGAGAGACGGAAAGTGGGACACAGAGAGAGAGAGGGAGAGAGAGAGAGAGAAGGAAAAAGGGGAGGGAGAGAAGAAAGAAAGAAAGGACGGGAGAGCGAGAGAGGTGACGGTAGAGAGGTGGAGGAAGAAAGAGAGGGAAGAGATGGAGAAGAGGAAAAAAACAAGAAACAAAAGTGCAGAAAGTGGGACAAGGAGAGAGAGAGAGGGATAAAGGAAAGACAGAGAGAAAGAGAGAGAGAGAGAGAGGAGGAATGTGGAGAGACAAAAGTTTGGACTTGATAAATAAAGTAATAACTGAATGAGCAAGGATGTAAAAGGCAAAATCTATACACAACAAAACCTAAACTAAACAAAATAACAACATGAACAAATAACGAGTGAGTCTAAAAATGGGTCACGCAGGTTTATACAAAAACAAGTGACTAAACTAAAAGGACATAAAACAAAACGAAATCACGAGTGTCCTGAAATAAAGTCACTTAAACCCACAAAAAGAAAAGACACTCGACAGACATTCGATGCTTCTGTCTGTATATAAAATGTACAGAAAGAAAAAAAAAAAACATAGAATGAGAATGAGGTGTGTCCACATTTTTGACCCGTGCTGTTTAAACACACCCAGGCTGCGTCACCTAGTGCCTCCACTCAATTTCATTTCTCTCCAGTGACTAGGTCAGGAATCAGAATACACTAGACCAGACATGTCAAACTCAAATTTGGCCCTTGATATAATTATATTTGACCCGCAAGATCATATCAAATCTGTATTAGAGCTGCCCGCCAGCTACAGATCGACTATAGAGACAATATTTTTAAAAAAAATGTTATTATTTTATATTCTGTTTGTTCTGGATTCAGTGTTTAAACAAAACTATTATTAAACATTTATTTTAATAAGAAAAGGTTTAACATCACATATCACAAAATAAGAGAAAACATGCAGATGTTGTTGACATTTTTCAATAAATATTTAGTTTGGCCCATGACTTAGTCCCAGTTTAAAATTTTGGCCTCTGTGAATTTGAGTTTGACACTCCTGTCCGAGACAGTTTGCAAAAACCCTAAAAGTGCGAGTTTGGGCACCAGCCAATCAGAGAAGAGACAGACATTCAGTGTTGGCAATGATTCCCGAGATGTAGGATTTAAAGCCGGAACAAAGAGAATGTTTGGTGAATTTTATCAAGGGGAAAGACGTTATTGTCCTTCTTCTTACAGGGTTTGGGAAAAGCTTAATATACCAGTTAACCCCGTTAGCGGTGCATTACATAAGTGACGGCCAAATAACAGCGATTGGTTAAATGAAAAAGTACCCACCTACTGTTGATCGAATGAATTCTAATGCTGTGAGGTCCGATGGTTTCTACGAAGTGAAACCGGCTGATGAATCAGACTAGTTTAAACATACACAAAGAGTCAGAAGTTTGGTTCAAATACTTAGTGGAGTTATGACTTACTTCATATATATTTGTTGTCTTCTGTGTGTATATAAAATGAAGAAAGTTGTAAACATAGAAAAACACATTGAATGAGAGAGTGAGTCCAGACTTTAGTCTGGTAGTGTATACTAACAAAAAAAAAAAAAAAAAACAAAACATTGTATAAGTGGATTATTTCAAAGTTAAATCACTTGTATTCAGAATCTTTGACCGGTTTAGGTTTAATTTGTTAGTTTTATAGTTTTTTAAATTCTTATTTTTGGGCAAAAGTATCAGTCCATGGAGAAGGACTATTTTTTCAACCAAAAAACTACCCACATTTATTTTATTGTCGTTCCAAAATTGTTTCCAAATGGATCACTGTTGCATGCCGCTGCGCTTCTGATTCTATCGACTCTGGCTCCAATTTACTTTGTATTGAAAAAACATCACTCGTTCTCTGTAACTGCTGCAGGGAGCGAGGTCAGTTTGGTCTTAAACTGTTCATGTTAACTCACTCTACATGATCCTGGTGTTTTTATTTTGCTATTTTCTCCATAAATCAATTCCTATTCATAATAAGGAACTCTGCTCTGAATTCATCTGTGTAACTGCGGCTTCGATGAGCTTCATTTGACTGGAGCTGAACACTGTGGGTGACGTCACACTCCCTTAGTCCACTTCTTTATACAGACGATGAGTCCAACAGAGCAAGAATTCCTGAGCAAGACAGGGATTCAAATGTCTATGCTCCACGTTTACATGATGTTTTTTAATTCCAAATTAATTGTTCTGAATTAAATTATTCTCCTTCAAGTTTACATGGAAATAATAATTCTGAATTGAGGTTTACATACAACAAACATGTGCCGAATGACCGGGATTATTTTTAGCAAGAATAAACGTGAAACATGATCCAGGAATAAATGAACTTGGCTTTATAACCGGAATAAACCACCCACTTTCTTCGGAATTAAGGTTAATTCTGAATAATCCTTTTCTTTAGGAATGAAGTGTTTACATGGTCTTTCTAAAGCGGAATTCATTTTTATTCTGATTATATTATTTTTTATTCAGAATTAAAGCTCTCAACAAATAGAAATAGAACATGTTAGTACCTGGACATGTTTATAGCAGCATTTATAATTCCAGACACATTTGAACTCGTGGTAATCTTTACACCGTTGTATTTGTGACCCGTCTGTTTTACTTTTCCTAAATGAATGTTCTCTTGATGTAATGTTTGCCTGACCCTGTAGTTTTAGCGTGACCTGAGCCGACCTTTGACCTCTGCCCTGTGTGTTTCAGAGAGCCTTCACCGTGATCGTCGAGGCCTGGGACCGAGACAACGGAACGCACAGTAACACAGGTGAGGCTAACCACTCTGCCACCGCGCCAACATCCAAACAAACTCATTTCACACAACGCAAACGCTTCTTAAACATCTTATATGACACAAATTCACAAACTCTAGACTCTGGTGAGCTTTAAGTCGTGTTATAATGTTGTTACCTCGTCAAAAACAGAGCTGGAGTTGTGTTTTGTTTCTTTCTTGAGTTGGTCGTGGTCAGGACGGTCTTAGCTGGAGGGTCTGACCTGTGGTGTGTGTTTTGGGTTGAGCCTGGAACCTTCTGGCTGTGAGTGGAGAGTGCTTAGTCAGTGTGTGGACAGTTTGTGTTTAATTGTACATTTGTTTGTCTAAAATGGAGGATTGAGTATCAGACGTTTCCCTTCATATGGCGTTCAGACTCAGGTTTCTGTGTGGACGTGTCTGTTTGTGGTTTCGAGGAGGATCCTGAGGTGTTGAGAACTTGGCTCACTCATAAACAGCTCCTCTCTCTCTTCTCTCTGTCCTTTCTTCTCTTTCTCTTCTCTCTCTCCTGCTTCTCTTTGCTCTCACCTCCCACCTCCTCTCTCTGTTCTCTCTTCTCCTCTCCTCTCTCTCGTCTCTCTCCTCTCATCTCCTCCTCCCCCTCTCTCTCTTCCTATCTTCTCTCTTCTCCCGCCTCCTCCTCTCTCTATTCCCTCTCCTCTTTCTTCTCTAACTTGGCTCTCTCCTCGCTCTCTTTCTCTCTCTCTCTCCTTTCTCTCTCCTCCTCTCTGCACTTTCCTCTCTCTCCACCTCTCTCTTCTCCTCTCTGGTCTTTCCTCTTCTTTCCTTCAATCTCCCCTTTCCTCTCTCTCTCTCCCCTCTCTCCTCTCTTTCTGTCCTTCTCTCTCTTCTCTCCACCTCTCTCTCCTCTTCTCTCTCCTGTCTTTCCTTCTCACTTCCCTCTCTTCTCTCTCCTCTTTCTGTCCTTCTTTCTCTCTCCTCTCCACCTTTCTCCTCTCTCCTCTCTTTCTGTCCTTCTCTCTCTCTTCTTTGCACCTCTCTCTTCTCTCTCCTATCTTTCTGTCTTTCTCTCTCCCCTCTCTCCTCTCTTCTCTCTCCCCTCCTTCTGTCCTTCTCTCTCTCCTCTGTACCTCTCTCCCCTCTCTTTTCTCTTCTCTCTATCTTTCCTTATCTCTCGTCTCTCCTCTCTCTTCTCTCCTCTTCTCTCCCCACTCTCCTCTCTCCTCTCTCCTCTCTCTTCTCTAATCTCCTCTCACTCTTCTCTCCCCTTCTCTCGTCTCCCCTCTCTCTTCTTTCCTCTCTTCTCTCCTCTCTCTTCTCTCTTCTCTTCTCTCCTCTCTCTTCTCTCTTCTCTGCTTTCTCCTCTCCACTCTCTCTTCTCTCCTCCCCTCTCTCCTCTTTTCCTCTCTTCCTCTCTCCTCTCTCCTCTCCCCTCTCTCCTCTCTCCCTCTCTCCTCTCTTCCTCTCTTCCTCTCTTCTCTCTCCTCTCTTTCAGTCCTTGTCTCCTCTCTCTCTCGGTCTCTTCTCTTCATCCTTGATTACATAAGAGGTTTACTCCGGGTGAGTTTCGGTGCTGTGGGATTTCCATGTGTTTGGGTGAAAGTGTGTGGCGTCATGAACGTGCCGCGTCCTGCCTCAGCTCCGCCGCCGATCGCGATTAAACACAAACATTTCAACCAAATCGCTTTTTGATTGGACCAATTATCAAAGGTGGCAATCATTTTGGTTACAGAAGCAAAGCAAACAACAAAAATATCCCGTCTAAACCCTCGAATTCTGCTTTTATTCTGACTAAAAGCTTCTACAAACATGTTCGGAAATTCACAGGATTTTTACGTTTGTTAAAAGTTCAGGTTTCCGTCTCGTAAATGTGAATGTGAAAGGTTTAAAGTGTGTGACCCGTGGACTGAGTCTGAGTTTTGTGTGGTTTATTTGCTCGTGTGCGGTTGGTGTGGGTTTCTGTATTTACGGATTGATAAACGGCACATTTTGGACGGACAGAAGCTGCTCCTGATTTAAACCTGGAGGCACAAACGGGATTCCACACATTCTTATATCAGCGAGGAACATGAGGCTGAACCAGGACTGAACCAGGATTAAACCAGGATTAAACCAGGACTAAACCAGGATTAAACCAGGACTGAACCAGGATTAAACCAGGACTGAGCCACGACTAAACCAGGATTAAAACAGGATTAAAACAGGATTGAACCAGAACTAAACCAGAACTAAACCAGGACTGAACCAGGATTAAACCAGAAATAAACCAGAACTAAACCAGGACTGAACCAGGACTAAACCAGAACTAAACCAGGACTGAACCAGGATTAAACCAGGACTGAACCAGGACTAAACCAGAACTAAACCAGGACTGAACCAGGATTAAACCAGGTCTAAACCAGGACTGAGCCAGACTAAACCAGGATTAAACCAGGTGAACCAGACTAAACCAGTACTGAACCAGACTGAACCAAGACTAAACCAGGATTAAACCAGGAAACCAGGACTGAACCAGGACTAAACCAGGCTTAAACCAGGACTGAACCAGGACTGAACTAGGACTGAGCCAAGACTAAACCAGGACTGAACAAGGACTAGTCCAGGACTGAACCAAGAGAGTTACTTGGGGCAGGTTTCCACCACATGCTCGCGTCCTGTGGAGCTCTTGTTGCTTTGAAATGTTCCACAGTGGCATTAAATGTGTCCTTCTTGTATTTATTTCATTAGGTGTTTTTATTGCTCAGAAATTAATGTGAGTGAGTTTATCTCTCCACAAATCTGACCACTAAATTGTCTTGTTCCATTGCCTGTTTTCTCCAGGGAGATTAATGCCAAACTGTGGAACATTCCAGGCAATCTTCATGGAAGGGCCCTGCTGAGAAGTTACACAGTGCTGTATTACACAAATGGATTCTTGTGAGCTTTAAACATGTCATAGTGTTGTTCTCTCCTCAAAAACAGACCTGGAGTTGTTCGATGAAGAGAATAAAAAAGTCTAAAGTAACAGTACAGTTGGTTTATGAGGGCAGAGCTTGAAATCTAAACAGAATGCAGCTCTTACTGGAAAATGTAAAAGTGGACAAGGTACAAACCCGAGGTACTCAGGCATGATTAGTCGATTAATCGATAATTGATCATTAAGAATTTCATCGATTACGTTCATTTTAATCGACAAACCTGAATGTATGTTGCTGTGTGTAGTGTGACCAAACAGGTGTGTACATGTGTCTCTGCATCAGAAGGAGCGAGACACAAACAGTGGGTCAGTCTGCAACGTACTGAAGCACAAATGTGGATTTAACGATGATTTGTACAAGAAATTCCACACTTTCTGTTCCGTTCGGGACAAGTGTGAGTCCATGTGCACAGTGTATAAAGCAGCACATATGTTTCTGTGTCCAGTGGGAAAAAGTTTTACCAGGTGAGAGTCGCACAATGTGGATGACGAGTCCCCACCTCCCTCCCCCCGTACAGTGTCCTGGTTTTGACAAACACAAATCTGGTCACACTGACCTGTATTCACCTGAGTCATGTCTTTTAATCCGACAGAAATTGAACCACATCAGTGACACAAGAGCTGGAGTTTTATCTTCGCTGAGTTTATGCAAATTAGTGATGCGGTTTTAAGTTTTGTTTCTGTGAGAGTTGAACAAAACTGAATTAAACACATTATAATGTCAAACGGGCTGATGTGGCTCTAGAGTCGTTACGGTTTATATGTCGTAAAGTTGAATTTATTTATGCAGATTAGTAGTGCAGATAGTAATAATAATGATGATCATTTTAATATAAAAACGTTAATGATTAATCGATAATCGATCGTTAATTCTTCCGACGATCGATTAAGAAAATTTCATCGAATGCCCATCCCTAGACTGAATCTATTCAAAGTCCTTTATTACCGTATTTTCTGCACTATTAGGCCCTCTGGATTATAAGGCGCACTGTCATTAAATGGTCTATTTTCAAACTTTTTTCACAAATTTAAGGAAACCCAACAGTGTGATGGGTGAGTGGTTTTGTTTGTTTGTTCGTTCACGGTGACTCTGGGCTTTGTTCAGTTGTGGCGTGTAGGGAGGGTGTGTCTGGGACCCAACTGGATTGTCGGCGTGTTCACAGTGACTCAGTTGTTCAGTTGTGTCTAGAAGTGGCACATTGCACTCACTTTTTCGGTTCGTTCCTCTGTTCCGTTCCTCGTCGGCGTGGAGTGATGAGTGTGTCTGTGGGTGTGTTTGGCTGTGCGGTCGCTGTCTGCTCCGTGTGTGTTTGTGTGAGGTTAGAGGCTTAAGTGGGCGTCTAATAGCCCGGAAAATACGGTACATGCTGCCCCACAAAGGCATAATAACCTCTCTGCCCGTTCTAACTCCATCTGGTGAATTTCGGCATCAGTATATTCGGGTTCATAAAGATCTCCCCTTGGCTTCATGTCTTTATTGTCGGTGTCATAGTCAGACTTGTTGTCGCAAACACTCCGAGCAGTAAACAAAGTGAAACAGGCGCAGCTATCACCTGGCGGCAGCGCGCAGTGATACGAACGGAGAGAAAATAGTGCCAAGCGATTATGAGGTCTGACTTTTTTGAGGACGATGGTTTTGTGATTCAAATGTGTCAGTCTTTTGAACACAGATCGTTTTGAGAAGAAAACCGTGTTATTTTCGTGTCCCCAGCCAACTTGCCGGACTACTTTCGTCAGCACCAAAACCGGCCAGGATCTCGGCTCACAGGACGCTGTCGGGGGTAAATCAGTGTGGATGCACGACACTGCTCACGGGGATGCCATACAGATTCATGTCAAAAAACCCAAACTATATTTAACTTGCCACAGTGTGAAACAGAAAAATGATTTTAAAGTCTGTGTTTTGTCCAGACAAAAGTATAACACGTAGGGCTCCCAAAATTTGAAAACTAGTTGCTATAATGAAGAAATATTTGTATAAGCAATTTTTATTTTTCACAATATTTATTCACATGATAAAAGTCTTCGTCGGGTTTGTACCTTGCCCACTTTTACATTTTGTTTAAGATACCTGGAGTCG